AAAATGTTTGGTATGAACCGAACTGCTTCATATCTTTGTAAGCATGTTTACATTTTCCTCCGTTAAACGGCCAGCGTAGCGGCCGCTAGTTTAATAAAATCTAAAATCTGCTGTGGTCCGTGGTGGCGGTAGGTAGTCCGTGGCATGCGCGCGCACGCGTGACACACGTGTGCGCTATCCCCCATAGAGTCTTCTGCAGCTTCTGGGTCTCCCTCTCCTGGGCGAGAATTTTTTTGTCCGACCGTTGCGACTGTCGGATCAATTCTCGAGAACGCAATAGTCCGGGAGAGAGTTCAGAATTCAGATGACATAAAGTGACGAAAAATAAGTGCTGGAGGGTTCCAGAATCGAACTCAGGGCCTTCTGATTGCCGATCACATGTTTTACCACTTCACCACCGAACCCATACGTTTAATCGAGCCTCTCCATAACATCCTTAACATTACAATGGGAGAGAGAAGCATTCAACGTACACCCCCGCTTCCTACCTAGGAGGGTGAAATACAGACTTCTCCTTTTCGTATGACACTTGTTCGTCCCCTTTCATCCCTGGAAGAAGGATGACTACCTCGCCGTGATGAGATCTCAGTCCATATATTTCTCGGGATCCCGGCGTCTTCATCGATCGGAACCCCGTCCTCTTTATCTCATCGGTCCTCCACCATATGGCTCGAAGAAAAACTAGCTAACCGAGCTAAGAAAAAGAACAGGAGGTGGCGCACAATAGACTTGATTTGCTGCAATTAGAAGCCATCTTATTTGGGATCAGAGAGGCTCCTCCATTCACGATGGGATTTTCATCATTTTCCTCCCCTCCTCCTCCTTCTTGCTGTCGTGAACACGATGGAAGGCAATCATGGCACTGGAAGCCTAGTAATTCAGGGGGAGTTTCTTAGGTCAACGTAAGGTCGGAACTCTTTCTTTCGTGGGTGCGGCGAGTCCCCAATTTCTCGAGTGGGTCTCGAGTTCCAGGCCTGTCTTTGCTGAGATTGCTTGGCCTGCGATGGTGATAACGTTACGCCGCTATTGCATCATCACGATCGACCTATTTTACACCCGGTCTAAGACGAAGTCAAACGAACTGAAGTTCGTTTGACGAATTGAACGTTCAAAGGTAAATATAGGCTAACGGAGACTGTGGGCGACCACGAAGTGCATGGTTGAAGTCTTGGCGGGTCTGGCAGGGCAGGCTTCCGTATTCAATAGGGCTACTCCAATAATCCCGCTGTATCTGCTCCTTTACTCCGCCAATGCGCACCGCTGGCACTCTTTCAATTCTATCAATCACTTCGCACGTGAAACGCTGGCATTTTCTTCCTTCTACCATCCTCTCAAGTTTGCTGTTCTCTCGAGCGAACGCTCCCAAGCGTAAGTCCCATTTAGCACAGGATGCGAAGGCAAAAAAGCAGAATCCACCGTAATGCACGGGAATCACTCGATATGCAGGTAAAATACCCATATTGGGAATCGTGGAGGGGTTCATTGGGGACGAATCGACTGTAACGGTCGGGATTTTCTAAGCAGACGAAAATGGGCCGGAAGGCAAACGTCCTCCCCCCCCCCACCCCCGCACACACCCCCCCCAAACACCCCCCCCCCCCCACACACCCCCCAGCCAATGGTATAAAAGCAGAAAGATTCATCGTCCTTCGTACAGTCATCTGCCTCCGACTACAGCGTCTCCTACGTCGGGTAAGTCCTCTTCATTTCATCCTGATCTATTCCATTGCCTGTCAGTATTTTCGAGTGCTAAAGAAACCATTGTATTCTTGTTAGTTCTTCGTTCTGACATGTACCTGCCTTCACCCTGTAATCGTGTCACTGAGATACATTTAAAAGCCTTCTTCTGGTAACTGTTTCAACCTTCATGTGCCAGAATTAGAAAAAGTCCAGCAACAAGGGGAAATGGCAATAAGCGACGTGGAAAAATTAATCACTTCAATATCGTGATTCCGCAACTACTCAACTGCTGCCCTTTTTCAGAGCAAATAAAAGAACCAGAAAACGCGAAAAGAGTCTGTTGATAAAACTCTGTATATTTTGAAAAGTCCACCTTCGATCTCTATCGATGGGGAGGCGATCACGTGAATGGCTTCTTTAAGCTTGTAAGTGATTTTCACTGGACGGTGTCGCTTGCTTGCATTAAGTTTGGCGAGGCAGGGTTGCTGTTAGCTCACGGATGTGTAGAATCGAATCAATTGCTATGGATGCCCTGTATCTTTTTTCAGGAGACCCACTACGTCAGGTCAGGCATGGAATGCATTCACGGCCAGCCTGGATCAACCTGAATGGGGCACCCATCTCATGGTCATCTCGCATTCTTTGATTTCTGCACGGAACGGTCCTTCGGTTACGTCGGATTTTCCAAGCGAGAATAGATTGGATCGTCCTCTGGCGTTTCATAATTCTCGCTTGCAAAAGAATAAAGGAATGAAGTACAGGCGAGTTCTGGATATGACGAATTCTTTCACATTTTTATTTCCATTTCCCGGCCATTCGTCCGTTCATCTGCTCGTTGAAAAGTTTTTCTGTAGTAATGGATCTCAATCTAACTGTATGCCTTTGTATCAAGGATACATTGACGGCACCCCTTCTTAGTCCGATGGACAGCCAGAGTTTTCACTTTCACCATTCATATTGGCTTAAGTAGAAATAGTGAAACCTGGGACTTCTACACTTTTTTTTAATGAAGAGATATATGCGAAGGAATCGCTATTATGGCCATCACTTTGAGAATATCCATACAAGCTCTCATTTTTTACATTTCTGGCATCAGGGAGATACATCCCTTACCAAAAAACTTAAAAGACCCATAATTCTGAAGGAACCCAAGGTTTTTGAAACACGAACAATTTATAGACTCCTGCCTAATAGGAGATTAATATTGAGGCTTTTGTTGGGATGCCAAACAATGCTATTGCAACTAGGATAGCTAATAAATGGGATAGCTACTGAATGGGATAATGGGTCAATGCGCTGCTCTAAAGTCATTACCGTGTAGGGTAATGACTCCCATCACCAATATTGAATACAAGTATAGCCCCCTGCCCATGCGCACATCAGTCTCGTGAATGGACAGGATAGCCCATAGGTGAACGTAGTTCCTTCAAAGCAAGACATCTTCAGCCTGAGAAAAAGGCGAATAAAACTTGCTTACACCGTATCTTTACGGAAACTCCTTTTCCTTGAATCCTTTTTCAGTGTATCCTTTTCTTTGTATGGGGTAGCCATATGGAATATGAGCTCATTTCAGGCCTGTATTCCATGATTCTGTCTTGAATATGGGGATAGCAATGAGTCAATGCAAGACACATAGGGAAGTAACACACTCCTGCATAGATGATTCCATGGATGAAGGGAAGAATACATTTGTGTGCTATGACAAACGCGAAACCCAGATCTTAAGCCCGAACTCGGCGTAGGCATTGGATCGATGATATGTCTAGAATCAATTCACTAAGGACTGCAATTTCACTAATAAAATTACGCCGAAATGAAGTTTATATCTTAACTAGAGGGAAGTTATTGCAGTAAGTTTCCCAATTCCAGTCCGAATGGGCGCCAGTGGGGGAATGCGACCTACTATTCGCCAAGAGCGAAAAGTAGGCCACATTAAAATGGAGATGGTTTGTTGGAGAATTGATACATTGGTTGGAGTTTATTCCTTTAAATCGATTTCTCTACGTGTAGGCCGATTTTCGTCAACATCCTAGATGGTCGAGCTCATGCGCTGGTCTCTGGCGTGGAATGACCCAAATGCCTGGCAAATTACTTGGGCCCTGTGTGGCAGCCAGATTTTCCAGTCGCCAGCCATACTTCTGCGTATTAAGACCCAACTTTTCTTTTTGCCAAGTATGACCCATTAGGGTACGGAAATAAAACGGTTACGCCCCAAGCACCATTTAATAATTAATGATATGAAATCATGTGAACATTTTGTTCCAAAAACGCTAAGTTGATTTTCTTTTTCAACATCCATTATGTATACGAAATGTTTACTCTTTAATTTTTTATTTCAATCGTCTTTGATGAAGAAAAAACTATAACCGAGCGAAAATACATTATAGACGGAAGACAAGACGCTGGCTGATGCCAACCTCAAACTGTCTTTCAGTCATCCTGTATTTATAGATGATCGCAGCAGGACCCTTTAGAAGTGATATATCATTAGCGATCTCAAAAGAAAATCATAGCAAAAAATTTTTACAAGTTGAGTTTCATTTTGTTGTTTTGTTACGTCGATGACGTCCTGTCATGATGTTTTCAATCTCCTCCTGACCAATACCATGTCATTTCATCCTGAAGATAGAGAGACTGATCGAATCTCCCCCCCCCTCCCCATCCTTTTATGAGGCCGATCTGTAAATTTCATATCGCAAAGGCACATCCTCGGGCGATGAATATTTGTGTTGGAAACCCCCAGTTCATATCTCGAAGTGTTTGATCTGTAGAACTGTCACGCACACAAACACAAATTTGTCGTTTGGCGGTCAGGATCGTACACAGTTTGAATGACTCAAGTAATTCCCTCCATTTTAAACACTTTTCCAATGACATTTTCCAATTTCATTATAGCTTAATGCTAAAAACGAAGCCCTTCATCAATTAATGAATTTATCTATAAAAACTATTTGATTTGCTTCATTACTCGGTGACAGTGACTTCAAGGTGAAAAATTGCAATTTTTTCCACTGCAGATAGTACACAGATTTTGTCCCGTTTTGCTATGACTCAGCCCCAAAGTTGCTATTTAATGCTCTCGCGCCATATCGCACGAAGTTCCTATATTTGGGATGAGTTGATCTCATGCAGGTCTTAAGCCTTCTCTTCAAAAAAATTGTTTCCGCCAGGGTCTCCATTTCATTATTCCTAATTTGACACAGCTGAACCTTGCATTCGTCATTTGCTCTCTTGCTTTCTCCTTTCCATTCATCCCATCTCCTAATACGTTGCGAATCCACTTCGTGTACCAGTGACTGCAGCATACATTCCACATCAGTTTAGGCTACCATTTCCATGACATTGCGAAAATTGAAGGCGAAGTCTTCCTTCATGATTGCTTCCCATAACTTCTCCAGATGTCGACTGAAGATGTTCAGGTTCCTGCCACTGAAGACGCGGAGCTTCTCCAAGATGACAGACTTCATCTGTTTCGCTTTGCATCCATATTCTTCAGAGTGGATGCAAAGGTTACCGGACCGTAGCAAAGATGGGAAATAGTACGTATCTTCTGTCAAGTTTAATTTCATGCCGTCATAGAATCTTCTGACTTTTTTAAGCAAGTCCTTTTCTTTTGCCGCAGCAACCGGCATTTCATCTAGGACCTCTTGCATTTTCTTCAGGCCATGCAAGCGAGACTTATGTGCGTCTTCTCGCACATTTTGATGGATGATTACAACGTTTGGAGATTTTTTGCCTTCATTCATTCGGATTAACCCATGCAGGGCAGTGGGCAGAAAGTCTTTCAAATCTGATGGCGTTTCGCCCATCACATTGAGAAGAATCAGGTCAGCCAGTCCAATGGCAAATGTAGCCAGTTCATTATCTCGCCTTCCGGAGTAATCGTCTGAAAATTCGGGGGCTCTCAATCCCTCTATATCAAGGAGGACTAAGTAGTCCTTGGGTGACTCGCCTTCTTCATTCGAACATTGAAAGGGGAAAAACTGCATATAGACCCCTTTCGTGCAACTTCCCGTTCGAACTAAAAAGTCCGATCCGAAAATTGTGTTGAGCATCGTTGACTTGCCGGAACTTTGAATGCCAATCACTGAGAGCACCCAAATCTTCCGTACTCTGCTTTTCATGCAGTTGAAGATAGCTTTCAACCAAGTCATAGGGATGTAGCCATTATCACCATCCAACAACTCCAATGGTATTCCATCCAGTATCATTGAAGCCATTGTTTCAGGAAGACCAGAAACAGTGCTTTTATCATCAGTGCCTATGCGGCATTCGTAAATTTGAGCTAACTCTCTGAAAATGTTTTCTATGCCCAAGGATGACTGCCGCATTTTCTTCTCTACCTCTATAAGTCGTAGCTTCCTTTCATTTCTTCTTTCCATGTCATCATTTTTGGCAGAAATGTTGAGAAGTTCCAATTTTTTCTCCCGTAATGGATTCAGAGCCTGAGTACTCAAGTTGTCCAATTTTGCCCTCAAATAAAAAAGACTATTAGTAATTTGCTCAGCTGACATTCGACTTAGGGTTTCCACAAAATTCAGGAGATTTTGTGATATCCCTGGCTTATCTTTAATGTAGCGAACCTGTTTCGATCGGAGTGACTTTTGCCTCTCCTCCATATCTCTGCCGTGGATAACATTTTGTTTTCTTTTGTCTTGCTCGTTCTTAGCGTAATTTGGCAATACTCCTGTGCTCAAGGGCAGGCATTCCTTTTTTCTGGACCCTGTCTCCCTTCTCGTAAACTCTGCCACGCATTTTTCTGCAAGGGCTCTTGGTTCAACGATTGCTTCGGAATCCATGTCAATTGCTACTCCTCGAAAGACGTCATCAACGGAGTTAGTCGGGTTAATAATCTCCTCCACATCCTTCCAGGCAAATAACATTTCAACATCGGTGGCATTAGTGGGCGATTTTGAGCGCTTGGCTCTTGTTACTGCCTCGCAAACCTCGTCTCGGACCGCCTTGATCGGGTGATTGACCTTCTGGAGATTAACAAACTTCATGTTTGGGTTGTTCCTGCGTAGGCGATCGATATTAGGCAAGGCGCGTCTTCTATCTTTCAAAATAGTGCAACGAGCCCCTTTTGTCCCGCTCGCGTAAGTCAGACCTGACACGACTTCGCTTAAGGCGTGGTCGCCTTCTTCCAAGGACTGTGTAGGGTCATTTCCAAGAAACAGAACGACAAGTGAGCATATCTTTCCAAGGAGTTGGACTTGTGTAGGATAGAAGGCTGCATCTCCCCGCAAATTCAGGATGAAGACTGGTTTAACACTTCCCCTTTCATCTGAATCCCTCGTCTCTCTTCCAGGAGACACGGAAATTTTCGCCCAAGCCATTTCAATAATTCCGTTGCTGACTCGTCTACTGGCTTCTCCGAATGGCAATTCTGAATGGAAGAATGTGTCGTGTTTCTCGAACAATGCTTCATTGATTACCTTTGATTTGGAAAGATTGTCGTGAAGGCTCCCAACACGGATGAAGCCGATAAATTGAGCTTGAAATTCAACCAACGAGTGATAAAGGTCACGGTACTTCACATCAGTATTTCGAAGAGCCCAGACCAGCAGTTCCAAATTTTTCCCCCTCAGTTCACCGGTTGTAGCGAGTGGGGAGACTGGCAGGACAACAGGCATCCCATGACCCATTTGAAAGAGACGACCAAGCAAGAGTTGGCGAAGCGATGGCTCAGAATTCTGGAGGGCTATTGTCAAGATATCATGGGGATGAATTTTCATCGTGTTCAAGTTTTCTTGATTGTCTTCTTCACCATCTTCGCCCTGAATGTAATATGCAAAGCCGTTGTAATAATAATAATAATAACTTCAAAGACTTCAACCTTCCCTCAGAGTTTCTCATATTAATGAACGTGGAGCTATTTCTCTCTGGAATATGTGTACACACGATTCTGATAATGTAAAATATTACGTAACCCAAATTTCAAAGAAGCAATTCTGAGCTTTCTACCCATGACTATTTTTTGGACTTTGGCTTGCTTACTGAGTCTGCGTTTTAAAAATATTCTCCTTACTGGTCTTACTCTCTTTTGTAAATACAATCATTATTTTTTAAGTAAATTAATGCAGTTCGTTGAAATGTAAATAATGTACCTGTATATGTCTTCCATCATCTGGTCATCACCTACGGCAGCTCTTCAGTACAGGATACTTCGTGAAATGCTGTGTCAAAAATATTCCTTAATTGCAGCTCGTTTTAGGATGCATACCAGGCAGAAATTCATCCCCAATTTGTTTCTGGCTCTGATAAATTTTGATTCCTTCAGCACGTGAATGACACTAGAGCTCAATATTTTATTTTCATGATACGAAGTTTTAGCAATATATAATTCCTTATAAAATGGGAGCAATGATGTAACATTTCAAATGCATTACCTCTTCAATTTCAGTTTCATCGCTTTCCGTACGAAGTTTTTCTGGCAAGGGAAGATCAATATGTCGGTAAGCTCCCGTCGTTGCAATGACATCTTGCATGAATGCGATAATCGGTGTTGGATGTTCCCGAGTTACGCTTCTTCGCGGCGTTTCTCCTTCTTTTGCCAGCTCATTGGTCCAAGAGAGACTTCGAGCTTCAAGAAGCGTTATCTTTCGAAATTTTCGGAGTCCTAGGCAAGATTGCAATTCCATGTCCATTGCTGCAAAGCGAAATATGATGCAGTTCAACATCATTGGCCTTATGTTATAGTTTCCACGTATCACTTTTCGAAAGAAACTCAGAAATAGTTCAAGATCCTAATTTTGTTTTTAGAACAAAATCATGTCTTGGCCTCATCATCAAACTCCCACGATATGGAGCGCGTAATATTAAATAGAAATGAATCACTGTCAAAAGAAAATTGATGACTTTCTTCAACTGCAGCCTTACGTTCACTGGTATGATAGCTTTTTGGATCTCCTATCTTTTTCAAAAACAGGTTGCCACTTGTGTGCTACTAATCCAAGCCATGCTGCCTTTCCTGGATTTTCTATACCATTAGAGCAATTTATTATTGGTTGGAATAGGTTTTCTACGAGACATTCTGCTCCCTTATTTCCAATTCAAATTTAGTGTAATAATTGGGAAAAAGTTACTTACTAGGCACTCCAATTTCCACTTGGATTTCTTTTACGGTTGAATCACACGACGCTACGTCCACGACCTTTATATTATCCTCTCTTAATTCAAGTCTTATTATCTCAAGCTAATCAATCAAGTCTCAGAAAATTTTGTGAAAATGTATCTCACATGAGATGTCCTCCAACCGCAAAGATGGGTCTTCCATTATAGCAATCATTCACTCAGTGTAAAGTGCAAGATGAAAAAAGCTCAAGATTTACTTTTTTCATCAGCAAGTTAAAATGCGGGGGAATTAAAGAAAACGAACAAGGTATCCTAAAAATCACGGTTTCCACTGTTAGCATTATTTTCCTTTATTTGAATGAAATTCTTAGTTATTGATTCAGAATATTCACCATGCCCATCTTGCCCCGCTCTATGCTATATACGAAGGGGCACATCATTGATCATTCACTAATTCATGCATGATCATGCATTTATCTTGGAGACACGAATGCCTTAAGATGGGATTCGATTTTGAACATTGACAGGATCGAGAATCTCATTCTTATGAAATTTCATCCACGATTGAAGCGTCTACCCCATTGTCCATATTCATGGGAAAAAATCTTTGCCAAAAGGAATATGTCGTTCATCCAGTCTTAGAAAGGACCATGCGGCCAGAGCCCTTAATGGTGAGCTATATCACATGACCTACCAAAGAGCGATGAAGCCCTTTGTCTCAAATCTGTTTTCTGGAAGAGGAAAGGAGATGAAGAAGGCGTAAGTATGGCAAATGTGAACATTGCTGGTCTTTGTGGATTAGAAATGGTTCTTTCTAGGTCTCTTACCAACTAGATGTGGTCCGTAAATCGTTAAAGAACTAGTCCGAGACCATTTTTTCAATCTCAAATTTTCGCTTAAAAGTGGAAAAACTATTAGAATTCGGAGAAATTATATCTCGAAAAGCCATCAATTTGGAAAAAAGTGCTATTTAAAAATGCGCATCGTGGGCTGCCAGACGGCTATAAATATAATTAATATTTCCGTTAACAAACAATGCACTGTTCCAGTATGCAGTGTACGAGAATACCAATAACTCCCCAGTCTTTTCCCTTGGTAGATGATGATCCTTGATGATTTTCCTTTAATCCCCCTCCCCCCAAGATTTAGGCAGCATGTTGACAGCGCATTATGGCATAACAATATGGGGCATTACATGCAAAATTCACATGAAATCAAACCAAAAGGATCACTAACTCTCATACAATGTCAACATTGAAGTGCTTATTACCTGGAGTAACGAACCGATCGATCTTGGAAGGGTTCAGCTGGATGGATTCACTCTCAGTGCTGTAATATTTGACTCCGACTGAGGAACGCTTTGAACCTGTTTCAAAGGACCAAGAAAAAGAGACGAAATATATTTATAGGATGCGATTCAGAGTATACATGTAGCAGGTTAACTCTTTCCATAGCAAATTATGGAGTCGCTATTCGCTTTTCCATACTTCTAAGGTTGCAATATGCTGATAGCACATTCATTTTCGCTAATTGGTCAATTGCCTATTAAAGTAAAACATTTCTTCAAATGGAGACATTGCCAGGCAGGCCTCAACATCTGTGTCGAATGGAAGTCTTCATTTATTTTCGGGAGCGGAGAGAGAGTTGCAGTTATACTGGACAGTGACCAGCAAAAACTAGCTCATCAGTGTGCAGTTACATCTGCGAATGCCAAGTGAATCCCAAATTGTTGCAACTGCAAGGAACTCAAGAAACTTGACTCAATTCAACATCCAACATTAGACGAAGACTAAACTTTAAAACCATGTTCATGAAAATCCCCTCAGACAAAAAAAAGTATGACGAGTTCCGGTGTCAAGAAATGGGCAAAAAAAAAAGCAAAAAATAATTTCCCCAGTTAAACTTCTATGGAGTTGAGTTTATGACCAGTGTTTTTTATCTTTAATTTTCTCTCGAGACTCTCACTTCTTGCATTTCTTCTTGCGCATGTTCTTATTCCGAAAGCACGTAAAGAGTGAATGATTTTTTTGACCAGCGGGCATGAAGCTCATATATTGTCTACCCTTACGTAACACTGATGCAAATGTTTTTATGATGAGAGTTACCTTATTAAAGACTTCCATGAAGTTTGTCATACGCCTCTAGACGTGTTTGCTTCTTCTGCATGTCCAGTATTACTAGTTGAACTAGAGGGAAGTCAAATTCTTATTTTGTTTACTCACATTGATGGTGCCTCTGGCGTTAATCATCAGAAATGTCAGACTATCGTTCTAATCCTTGAATATGATTCTGTATGTTCAAGAGGGGTCTGACTCAATTAGGTCGGACCGCATGCAGTCCTTCAGGGGTGGTTGGGTGGCACATTGACGGATTCAATGTTCAACATCAAAATGGTGATATTTAACAGCACCTTTTCGTCACCAACTGCCCGCAGGGTTCCGCGGGCAGGACAAAATGGACTGACACGGCATGTTGTCCGCCGCAAGTTTGGCACCGCAGATATCAGTGGTGGCTCGTGATGTGCAGCGGTAGTGACTCGTCAGTGGAAACAAAGGAGGCTTGCTTTCCCTCTTTCCACCGAAAAGCTACTACAGCTGCATATCTCGAGCCTCCACTGGCTTATAAATTATTATTTAATTAATAAATAGCAGTTACTCAAATTAAACAAATCCCTGGAATTCATCATTGCCATATTTCAGGAAAATATTATTGATTGCGTCTGGTCATCTAAACCCCCCTCCCACCCTCAAAATGTCCATATGTACACATTTTAAGGTAGTTCTCTCCTTAATTTTCAAACAAGACACATTACGTATTTCCAACTCTAAAAGTATCCAATGGAAAAGGGAGGGGGTGGGGTACTTTCTTTCATTGGAGATCCCTAATTTCCCTTAGCAACACTTTTCGTTGGGTTGGTCTCAAAGCATTAGACACCTGCTTTCGAATTTCGAATGTCACACTTCGAAGAAGTAATAGGGTGCCCTTCGACATCGGGTAATCCACAATTACCCGTATGGAAATTCGGCGGATTCCGCCCTGTTGTAGTTCAAGGAGACATGATGCGCGAATTTCTAACGGCCTAGAGTACGTAGTAGAATATTGCCACCATGGACGCATATCGATTTGATAGGACTGACCCCAATTGGGCAAGTAGTTCCGTTGCTAATCAGTTTCCCGTAGGATGCGGGTAAATAGATTTTGCTTTTGTTATTGCCCATTTCTTGCCAACGGAACTGCTGTCATACTTTCTTTTCGTCTCTGAGGGAATTTTCATATATATATATTTTTTTAAGTTTAGTCTTCTTATAACGGTGGATGTTGAATTTAATCAAAAAAATAAAAAAATTAAAATATTTTTTTTCATCAGGTACCCCTTTTCGTTCTCAAGATTCCTTGAGAATTTCAATGGGTCTGCTACTCTTTATACAGTGTGACATAACAGTCTCCTGACAAATGAGAAAAAAACAACTTTGCCTAAAATCTTTGTTTTTGCTTGGCAAGTGAATAAGCTTGAAGGAAACACATACCAACCATGCTGACACCAGAACAACGAGTTTGCTCTTTGCGCACTTTGCTCTCACTGTCCGTCAGAAACTGAATAACATGTTTGGTGATCAGTGGATTGGATGGGGTGACTGATGGACGAGTTCAACTTCAACTCAACAGTCAGCATTTGCCAAGCATGAGCAAAGATTTTAGTCAAAGTTGTTTTTTCTCATTTGTGAAGTGACTTTTGTGTCCTACTGTAGAGTACATTTTCCATGCAGTTGCAACAATTCGGGATTCACTTGGCATTCGCTATTGTAACGACCACACTGCTGAACTACCGCGCGAACTTAACTCGTCTTCGATCAGATTGCAATATAGCAGGCGTTCGTTCCCAGAGAAATAAATATGGCTTCAAATTTTAATTTAAAAATTCGAGAGCGAATCATTGGAACTCACGCCTGAATAATATCTCCAATGTATAATGTTTCCCCTTCTGCTAAACAGGGTGAGTCAAAAGTCCGGTATATTGGGTATATGCCATATCTTTAAAATGTTCATGGAAACAATCGGGTTTGATTTTTCCGCCTGGAAAAATGATAGAAACATTACCCCTTCCCCATTCCTATTCCTGAAGGGCCTTAGGAGTAATTACGGTGTCTTAGTCAGAACATTGGATAATTATTTCCCTTCATCACGAAGCTGCCTGGTCATTCGGGCCATTTCCCACCGTCTTCGCATCTCTCGGTTTCATAGTTGTGAGTGGGACTCTCATTCGTTACCTTCAAACCTAGTAATAACAGAGAGGAGGTGCCAAGATTTAGTAGCATGAAAAAAAACTGACAAGGGTTTTGGAGGACACTGGCATGGGTGCTTTAGGTGCAATGAGAAAAAATGCTTCTCGCATTGCGTACAAGAAGAGAAGTTGAGTTTCCAGCAATCGGTTCTAGACGGATATAAAATTTGTTCCACGTTGAAAAACCAAAAATTGCCGTATTCAAAGGCGAATTTTATACTAACGATGGCGCAAATCTTGAGTGGGCACTTTGCTAACGTAACGGATTGAGCTGTATGAGGATATAAAATGTTTTGCATGTAATGATCTAGGTGCTGAGAACTTAGAACATGAAAAAGTGTTAAGAAGAAGAATACTTCTGGATGTATTCTACATCCAAAATTGTTTTAGATAGATGTCACTGATGTATACAAGACTGCCCATATGTGAGACAACAATCACATTTTGGATGAACCTAGTGTCTTCCCTGCTGTCATATCGCAGCTTCGAAGAACAAAAAATCGCTGGTCAGATGAAAGCAACCGGCTTCCGAATTTCTACCGAAACAAAATGCTTCGTCGATTTTCATGGCCAAAGTTGCTCCCTTGCAAAACATTGAGGAAACAACATTATCTATCCCAAACGTTTCAGCGAGAATCATCCATCATTATGTACTTCTGGACCATGTGCATTCGAACAATTGAATGAATGCGATGGAATCTGTGTAGGGAACTGTTGATAGATGAGTAGGCTTGGAACTGCAAATCCCTTTGAATCTGTGGACTAAATTTGCTGCAGAGAGTGGCCAACATGCACTTGCTTCGCAACAGGACTTAATTTTTTTAAAATTTGTTTGATTCAACCAATACCTGGGAGTGGGGGTGAAAGTTCTGGTGTCATTCATTGCACAATTGGTGAAAATCCCCATCGGAATTACGCTTGTGAATATTTACTCCATCATTGAAAATGTATGACATTTCCATGTTTGAGCCCGTGATTCTTGCACTCCACTTGTCAAGAGTCGGGTACTTGGTCACCGCGTACGTCGCATATACAATACTTACCGACGTACACGTATGACATCAATGTTAAAGGAATAGATAAACTTTTAGACTATCGATTCCTTTGCCATTTATGTTATGCGGATCCTTTTCGGTCCCCTCTTCTCTATCTTCGCGTGCTTCCTCTTCCTAAGGTTGGAAACCGAAGCCGGACTGACCATCAAAATCAGCGTCGCGTCATCAATCGGTTTTTTTGCAGGTTCAGGATGGCATTTTGCTCCTAAACGGTCAACGATTTTCTCCTACTCCCATGCGTTGACGTGTCAAAACGGAGAAAACTGGGCTCAACCATGAAGTCATTGTTACCCCACGTATTGGTAGTCTACAGTGACATCTCTCTAAAAAGTTATTGAATGTAGTATATATTAGTATTTACATACATTAATACTAAAACTAAACATTATTTTCTCTAGAATTTCACCATTCTAGTTCTGATTACCTCCAACGGCGGGTAGATCGGTTTCCAGAAGGTTTAGCTGGATTGGTTTACTCTCGGCACTGTACTCGCTTTCTCCGACCAAGCAAACACTTTGCACCTGTTTCAGGAGATCATAAGAAAAATGTAATGCAGAACGGCGTATCCTAGCAACAGGTTCAATGTGGGAAACAAGGTCAGCAGAGACACCACAGCATTACTTCCTATGCCACTTGATTTCGTGGTGCAGAAATAGCAAAACTTCTTGAAACTAACCTTACAGACAATCTTTTTCTTGGGAGTGAGGACGGTAATAGTGGCAATCTCGGATTTCTCGTTCAACATGAGTTCATGCCATTCTTCTTTGCCCTCGAGTTGCCGGTATGACACCCGGTACCCTTCCACAGATTCCAATCCGCAGCGGGGTGGTTTCCAGGACAGTCGGATTTTTTCATGAGTGAACTCAAGAGCCTTAGGTGCTCCCGGAATCCCGGATGGAACGAAACGTCTCGAGACACCGCCCTCGTAAAGGAGGATGTCGTGAGATGTATTCTTGAGGTCTTTCTCCGTCACCACAAACCTCAAGTTGGGCTTAGACTCGTTAGCTTTGAAGAAACTCATGAAGTTCCTCATATCTGCTAACAATCCCTGCATGATTCTCTGGTCCTCAAACCAAAATGTAGGGATTTCACTTTCATAGGAGGAATTGTCCATCTCCTTTCCCTTCAAGCATCGAGACAAACGCTCCAAAAATGCATCCGTTTTGTGACCCATTCCAAAGACGAAACAGATGACATACGGAATCCCCGGGTCGCTGATAACACTGCAAAACTCGACAGGATTTAAGGCGAAGTGGACTCTTTCAAAGAATTGCAGGAGCGTTTCTAGGGTTCTTATCTCCATTTCTTTTCCTGTCACCCAGGTGGAAAGATTCCTTTTGCTGAAGGGGGATTGAAGCACTTCTTCTACAATTTGGGAAAGAGAAGCTTCATTCTCGCCACTTCCACGAATCGCCTTTAATGTGGGAATAATTCTCCTCTGAAAAGTTGCCTTGAATCCGTCGACCTGCGACCGGAAGATCTTCAGTTGAGATCCGATTCCGGAGAAGTGATCGCTCACTTTGGAATTAGCCAAGTCATTTGCCCGAACTTTCACGTCGTGCCAGGCCTCCAGGATATCTTCCACTTCTTGGATGATTCCCACACTTATCTCTCGAAACGACCTGGCGGGCTTGTTATTCAGCTTGTGCAGTGGGAAGAGTGAGACCCGCTTCGCCACGCTCATTTCGCGGGAAAGCGCCGAGAGCTCTTCGAACACTTGAAGGCCTTCCTGGAAAGTGGTTGGATTCTTCGGAAGTAGAATATCCCCATGATATGTACAGCGAAAGTTAAAAGTGTCTGTATTTTCCTCTTACTTCGCTGTGACCGAGGCTTTTCCGTTGACTGAAATAACTGTGCAGGAAGGATATCGCCCACTATGTACAAACTTTGAATTTATATATATATATATATTGATAATATTGATATAAATGTCGGTTTCGCAATCTCAAGCTCTTGACGAAGTTAATTCTAGAAATTCCTGTTATCCTTTGATATTACAAAAAACTTTCCTTACACTTTAGTTTTTCGATGACGACATTCAATTCCCCTCGCACTTCTTGGGCTGTTTTGTTGGAGGAGACTTGTCGATCAAATACGAAGAAAGCGTCTGCTCCGTACTCGATTCCTGTGACGACATGAGTGGCGATGTCCATCTTGAACACGTTTGGATGCTGGATCCCTTCCGTCGCCAGTTGCTCCATGGTCAGCGACTCGTAGCGAGTGGTTGACTTGTATTGAAGCGTTATACGGGATTGCTGAGAGGACGACTTTCGATCCTCCAGATACTTGCCTGATCCTGTCATTTATATTCAGCAATTTTTTATTGCAAATATCGATTTTTTCAAACATTGAAAAGACCAATTACTAGGTCCCCCGAAGTAATGCTTCCATAACATTACAGCATAGCATTCTTGACAGTCGTCAATATGGGTCGCATCAAATCAACACACAACAAAACATGACTTTCTCTGATTTGGATTAATATTTCGCCAATGCTTTGTATTATTTAAAAAGGGAGATATCTGAAATTTTTTCCTTGTCAGTCGTTTAGATCTTACGACATTGTGTCCCGGGCATGAAAAAACTGAACTGCGTCAAAAAGCATAATTACAGTTCTGGTGCTCAATGTGTTAAGATAAAGGGTTTTGAAAGAATTGTCTGTTTCATGATCCAGTGATTTCCCAATGCGACGATAATTTCTCTTCTAGTTGAGGGGGAGAGGTGCACATAGTAGCTCTTTTGAAAGGTCTGTTCCTGCCTATTCCGAAGATACCATACTTCGACACACTTGTTCCTGAGGTTTAGTAAAATATACGAACCATATTCAAGGAAAATCCCAAAAGATTTAATTTTGTTAAATGAGGTCAAATATCATTTTATCTATTTTTTGACTACGTATTATGTGTTGGGATAATACCAAGAAGTATGGTATCTTCGGAATGGGCAGGAACAGACCTTTCAAAAGGACTACTATGTGCATCTCTCCCGCTCGGCTAGAACAGAAATTAACGCCGTATTGATAAATCACGGGATCATAAAGCAGACAATTCTTAAAAAACCCTTTATCTTAACACATTGAGCCCCGGAACCGTAATTATGCATTTTGGCGCAGTCCAGTTTTCACATGCCCGGGATTCAATGTACTAAGATCTAAACGACTGACGACGAAAATATTTCAGATATCTCCCTTTTTAATAAGCCTACCTGAGACTTCCACAATGCCGCTGAAGACACTGAGTTTAAGACTGGCGTCAATGTTCAGGGCAGATGTCTTCTTCGAGATGGTATCCTCGGCTATGATCTCAAAATTGCAGGACGTACGCGGAACCTTTCTGAGGTGTTTACTCAATGTCTCCTCGTTCCATAGAGTCATCCCATCCACTAGTCTGTCTTCTCTGCGATCGTAGAGAGAACCCAGAAGAAAAGGCCTTCCAAGGCATGCAAGCTCCGACGTCCCCATCTCCAGCAGCTATTGATATTGTCGTCGTCCACCTATCTCATAATCATAGAAACAAAGCACCATATTCAATTATATAGTTCCTTTAACCCTGTTATTTCAGGGTCCAATAGACCCTGATACAAAAAAATATAGCCATTTGTGTAGGCTGCGACATAAACTTGAAAAGTTCGATACTCGGTGTATTTTCATGGAGTTATGTTATAGCGATAAGGCAAAATAATTCTTTTTGAAGAATGGACAGATAAAAGAAATGGGAGAAAAGAAATCTGACCATCCAGGTTCTGCATGTTATTAGGTTGAATCTGTATATCACGACGATGATCCTATAAACCTGAAGCACTGACTTGTGTAGTGAAAATGCGAAAGAACAAGAGCAGTGCGATGACTTCCAGGAAGAGCCACACGCAAATATATCGTAGGGAATTTTCTATTATTATTGATAGAGGTATAGAGAATTATTGGTACATCTCAAATATTTCCGCTGCAAATATAAAAGTTCCGCACTCGCTTCATTTCAAGATTGGCAAAGCCCACCGAATAACCCTATTATAACCAGTACAATTAATTTTGTTCTTCTCGAAGATGGATCCTACAGAGTATGGAACGTCGCTGAGTCCTTGAGGAATTTCACCAGAAAACGTAAGAGCGGACATAGGCACGATCAACCGAACGCTAGATGTACCAAAATTGGAAAACAAATGTAATCAGATATTGTCAACCTGGAACGTCTTGAGAACGTGAAGGTGGGTGCTTGCAGGTGTAAAGTGAGCAGGACACGGAGATATGCACGAGACAAGAAAAACCTGTTTAGCCCAAGATTAAACATAGCAGATATTCATTGTCTGAAGTCCTTTCCATTTTCGCAAAAGTCAGTCACATTCAACAGAAACATATTATCACTTTTAGAGTCCAATTATTTATTTGCCTTTGCGAAGTAAACAATACGGGCTATTCCATGCAAACTGACTGAAGAATCACATTCAACTATCTCAGAAAATTTTCAAATGTTCGAAGTTGACCGATCGGTTTCATGTAATGTCGATTTTACATGGTAGGAGAACAAAACTGATGTTGTAGAATAGATCTTGCAATGTTTTTTCATATGACTTATAATACATATTTTTAACAGAACCCCCACATGGTAAAAAAAATGAGGTCAAACATCGCTAAAATCACGAAATATGGGATATTCGACTTTCATTTTCGACGTGGGGAAGGAAAAATAAAAATAATAATTATTCAATACATCATAAAGCCGAGGTATATGTGAAATCTTAGCACTGCAATTTTGGTTTTGTGACGTCGACTCCCACAACAGATAAATAGGGTGGTGAAAGTCTAAGAAATTGGTATATGTAGGAATATGAAAACCAATTTTCTAAGGTTTTTACCGTTCTTCAACCTCAACCCAATCTCAACCTCAACCTTGCCCCCTCCCCCACCCACCACTTCTTTGAGGACGTTTAATGTTAGGCCAATCGCAGGCCTCTTCAGTCTCTCATGGCTCATTTAACAGAGAACGTGTAACGTTAGACCGAAAGTAGGTCTTTTTCGAGTTTCATGAGCCAATTCGGTGCGGTCGGGGAACATTAGGCCTATCCAGAGTTCCTCGAACCATCTGGACTCGTTCTGAGAAGAAAGTGCCTTTAGAAAGCATGACATACGAGGGCAATCCAAAAGTTTCAGCCCTGCGGTAGTAGGAATGATCGGAGAGAGCTGAAATTTGGTTCCCATATTCATTCATCCTTTTTAGTAATTTCAAGGGCTACCAATCGGTTTTAGGTGCACATGTAATTTTAATAATAATTTTTATATAAGGCACATTTCAGTCACTAAAAGTATCAGTTTCAAGTTGTAGCGTTTTGAATGCATTGCAATTTTTTCTTTGCATTTATAATTTAAGCAATTCATATGATATAAATGTAATCACTCCGATAAAACAGCTCGTTCAAGAATAAAAAATATTCAGGAAAACTTCTTGTAAAGCGAAAATAAAGGTGAAACTGACGAAGGTGTCTCTTCGGTGAAACCGTTTCAGCATTTTTAGCTTACTGTGGAAAATGAAAATTTCCCAATAAATTTGAAGCAGTATTCCTACAATCGGACCAGCATTTGTGTCCAGGGAGGTAGTGCTGAAAAAAAAATTTTCTTGAAACACTCATTCACATTCTCTTATACCTCGTGGCAGAAACTTTTGGATCATTCCTCGTATACGCATGCCGTCATCGTGTTAATTTAGGGATGTCCGAATGAGATATCTCCATAACCCAACAAATCCATCACTGCAAACCATCGCTTCAATCTCAGTTCATCCCATGAATTCATCCCATTAATGTCTCCTACATTAAAAAGAGAAGATACACACAACGATATTAAGGCCGAAGAAGTCATGAATCTAGGATAACTAAGGCACAATATCCGGCAGCACTGGAGGACGGGACTGGACCCACCTCGCTGAGCTTAAATGAACGGCATCTAATTTCAATTTTCATGGCAAAATGGTGCACTGGATGCAACAAAAAAGGCACTTTGTCACCTCCAGGTCAATATCTTTCATTTGATTGGTCTATTTCCTCCAAAAACTTTCCAGGAACGAAAACCCAGGGGGGGAGAAAAAAATACCCGAATGAAATTCACATCTCCCAAAAGGGACATTCAGTGACCTCCACAACCCCGGGGAAATGAAGCTTCATATTTGCTGGAGTGATTCTGTGTTGAGAGAAGAAGAAGTATGCCAAATTTCATTTCCGTTGATGTTCTCAGAGAAGAATACAAGGCGGTTGAATTTGGAGCCGGAAGGAATTAAAGAAATGTAATGGGCACTACCAAAGAACATTAATTTTGAAAAAAGACATGTAATTCAAGTTCCATAAAACCCTTATTTTCGTGACCAAAATTCGATTCTACTAGTGCAGACCTTTCATATCAGCTATTACATGTATTCCAAGCTGGCTTTGAGATATATGAAATTCGCCCCAGAGGTCATACATGCTTGAAAACTAATATTTACGACATTTATATATCATGTACCAACGGGAATAAAAATGTAATACTTGATTTAGGAGTTTCATGTAAGACAACTATGAAAAGTTTCAATTTTTTCTGAGATGGTCGAGAGTCATCCATCGGCCAGTTGGCATGGAATGGCCCATACTCGATAGACCACGGACCCCAGACCATTGCAGCTATCGACTACTGCAATGTGGCACTGGGACAAAATATTCATAATAGAGGCATTCTCCATGGTTCCATGTCAAAATATCTAAGCGATAATACATCCTCAGAGTTCTTCAGAGGTCAGGTCACAAGAGTACCCGAGAAAACAGCGCAATATTGTTCACGCCACTGTATTGAGTCTTAATTCACTCCTGTAGCATACATTGACAAAAATATATCGTGGAAACATATAAGCTTGGGTTGAATAACCAAAACACATTGATATTTTCCCACGGTTGGTCTAGTAAGCAGTCGATCAATCATCATTTGAATTTTTTTTCAGTCTGAGTTTCCTTTTATCTTGAAAATTTCCCGCGAAGTCGTATTCTTCTCAAGTAACTCCCACTTCGTTTCATGGTTCGTAGTCTTTTCTGATCGCTTGCGAATCAACTCTTCTTGCAAGGATATGCTTTCTTGACTTCGCGGAGGGCTTCTAACCACCTCATGGTTTCAGCCTGCTGATTATCGCGATTCCCTAACATTCCCTAGACATTTTTCAAATTCATGGAAGGAAATTTTTCATCCCTGCCAAATCCTATAAATATTCTTCGAAGATGCGACAATGCAATCCTTGCCACTTTCCTTCATAACAACTTCTACAAAGAGAGTGAGTGAAATAAGTGAACCTCAGAATATCAATCGAAATCAAAGAACAGGTCGGCATCGTATATACGATGCTGCCAAGGTGGCTCTGACAAACGAGAGTAGATCTGTATTACAGCTATGAGAGATACGAGGAAGTTTGTGGGACCTATCTTGGCCTTAAGCAGGGAGGTAGAGATATCGTCAAGGACAAAGCGCCCGGTTTCATACAGAAACTTTTCGCTGACGTCATCACATGCGCAAGGTTTTACCCCTCCTCTCTGATCCCCCTTGGTGCATATACAAGGTCACAAGGTCTATGGCACGTTTAGGTCTTACATATGATATGGTGGAAACCATGCAACGAGTATCTGGTTATTGCACATTGCAAAGGTTTATATATATTTTTTCCAGTGTTCTTGATTACGTGCCGGTGACTAGAAAAACCAAGTTGGAACAGGCTACTCAGTTTCTCGAGCTAACAGTGAGTTCACACCTCCGTTGTTGGATATCCTTTATGTGTGACTAGGTCTTTCACTAGGCTTAGGCATTTACAAATTTTAAGGACTCAAGGCTACTACCTGTTCTAGTTACACTAAGGCATTCTTTCAAGAAAGAAGTTTTCACTCCGTCTTAAATCTGCAGATGAGACACTGAGCTTCCTCCACGTTAGAAACAAAGCGTAGCTGCAAGTAGGCAGGATCTTGACGTTAAAGAGTTTGCGAGCTGCTTCAATTGACAATATAGACAAGCTTCAATGTGATGACATACTGCGATTCCATTCTGAAATGTTTTGTGTATGTGCATGGTGAAGATCCCCTTCGTCTGGAAGATAACGTCAAGGTAGGAAAAGATGTTGACGAATTCAATAGAATTCTTCATAGAGAAGTATATCTCTTTTCACTAGGTCTCTTCTGAATTTTAGGCATTTAGTCGTGGACGTACTTACATTCAGCTATGCCTCAGCTGCCCAGGTTCACAGGGAGTTGAGTGCTTTTTGGATTTCCAGTTGTTCATGGAGTATACGACCACGCCATCTGCATTCATAATCAGGTTCTGATTCGATGACACTGCTCTGAGCCTTGATGAAAAGTCCGCTGCAAATAAGACAAAGAGCAGAGGGCTTAAGGAGTCCCATTGCAACACACCTCGTGTCTGAGTAATCCTTAGCAGGGCGTCGTCCACTTGCATTAGGCTTTTCTCTAGCATAAAGGATGGAAGCTTGAGGATTCGACCAATGATGATATAAGTCATGGCAAGCTTCTAAAGTGGAAAGAATCTATCGACAGTGTCGAAGGCTTTATAAAGACAGCGCAGACGATAGGGTGTATCTGGAGTTCCACTTCAACATAGCTCTTGAGGATTTGGATTGCATCCACTTCATACCAACTGCGGGGTAGGAGCTTCGCTGGTGCTCGTTTCCCCATATCTTTGGCAAGTAGCATGAATATATTATCATCTTGGAAACAAAACCGTTAATTCCCATGATATCAGGAAATCATGCTGGCGAAAATCTCAAGAGTCGATCGGATTTCTCTACCATTTCATTAAAATACTAAAGCCGGTCGCTTCCTCAAGTTGTCAATGCAAAAAGTTTTCCATACTTTTAAAGGGGTATATACATCGCGATGAAGTCATTAAAATGTTCACTTAAAACTCATTAATATGAAATAGTCAGCCAATTCTTAATTGAAATTGAGCAGGCATAGTTGTCTTTAATGAACAGGCCTTTTTGGGATAATGAGAAAATTTTCGTTCGCTTTAAGGACGAATTTTGAATACTGGACCATCAATCATAGTATTCCAGAATGAATGCTTGAAAATTTTCGCCAGTAGCGCGGATCAGCACTTCCTAAAAAAGGTAGGTAGGTATGAAGGTAGGTCGGTTCCATTCATCCAGCAGGAAAAGAAACGACCTGGGTAGTAGTCTGGCTTCACTCGAAGAAAGTCAGGAGGGTCCAAAACCAGTTTCGAAACCCACGAAGTGTCCAGAGGGAAAGACAATGTGGGTTGTCAAGGAAACTCCAGCAACATAGGAAATTCCAGCGCACAAGAAACCATTAATTGATAAATCGCGTCAGAGACGCCTACTGTCTGTAGAACGCAAACGAATGGGCAGGACTTCTTTCAGTCGTCTGAGTTTCACATTTGGAATTCTCTATCATGTGAATTCTAATTGAATCCTATCCTATTGAACTATCGGGTCGAGTGGAGAAGAAAAATTAATAATCTGATCATAACTTACCCATACATTTCCGTGAGTTTCAAACAGATTCCGTTTCAACGTATGAGTGCAATGGGGGAAGAGTATGCGGGATTATTGTAAAAGAACGATGTATATTGACTTTTTTGAAATTCATACATCATGGTTGAGGAAAAGGGTATCACGTCGTAACATCACCATCAAAACATCGGAACGACAGGACATCGACGCGATGAAACGTCGACACACTACAATGTTGAAACGAGAAAAAAATCGATAAATCTTTCACTGTTTCAAATGACTAATGCATATTTCTCATACGTTTTCCCTTATCGTCATACTATTCACCTTGGTACGGCTGTTCCATATACTATAAACGGAATGCTGCCTTCAACATAGGAAATTTCCATGCTCTGAGAATTAAGTAAAATATTACAGTAAGGTGAACACTTATCTAGGTGAACTGTGGCTTCACCTCCACACGGAGAACCAGAGTCATTCGTCTATTTTAGGCCAACTTCCATTTCGAGAGAGAGGAAATGAATGACTTCAATCGCATGGGAAAATATATATCCCCAGATACGCTTTTGCGTGCTTGCATTCTTTCTCCTTAGATTCCTGTCATGATCGAAACTCTATAAGGCGCTTGAAAAAAGATGCCATTCCAACGGAGAATCTGGCCGCCGATCCATCTCAACCTCCCACGTTCACGTTAGGCGTCTAACGTGAAATTTTCACCATTTGACGATCTGACGATCCATTTCAATCAATGGAGGACCAGCAAGGGTCCTCGTCTCTTGAGAATGGAAGCAAGGACCGAATGACCATGAAAGTTCATTGCTCAGAGGTAGAAATCCTTTGTCATGAAGCTGAAGAGAGCATAAGAGATTATGGAGGTGAGATTACATTTTTTCACTCAGGTGATGCAAAAACTCGACAAATCACTCGACAAAAGAATGCAAGCATAGAGAGTTGTGTTATGAAGGATAGCAATGGAGTGTTGTTGACAGAGCCAGACAAGATTAGGAACTATCCAACTACTCCAACTTAGTTGGAAGGAGTGCATAGAGTTGCTGCAATACCTTCAGACGCTTAATAAGATTTTCACATGACTTCACCAACATACCAACATATCTACCAACATATCAAGGCAACTGATTGGGCGAAGAAAATTATATTTGCTGGAACTCACCTCCAAAAGCTTTCCGCCTTCAAGCGACGTTCTGCCAAGGCTGCACAGTTGTTAAAGCAAGTAGAACTCGCTACTCTGTTCAACGAATATTTTGAAGGAGAGATAACGTAGGAGAACATGGCAACGAGGGAAAACAGAGAAAATAGCTTAATCTAATCTATGCTTAGGTCTACTACTATCTATTCTGTTATTCAATCCGTCCATGAAATGGGAAATTCCACTGTTCTTAGGTGACAATCTATCTTTGAATCAACATCGATTCAACGTTTAATATCACTACAGCTGGTGTTCAAACAACATCAGCGTTTCAACATTGACTCCACATCGGAAGTTCATTTTTGTCACCCTTGAAATAACGATGAAATCCTTCAATTACTCAGGAGACTTCTCCAACTTGGCAAAGTCATATTTTCCTACCAATGTGCAATTTATCGAAGCTCGCGTGCAAGGAATGTTTCTTTCGAGAGGAAAGAAAACCCTCCGCATAATAAATAATTAAAACATTACCCGCCATATGATTTGAGCAGCAGTGTCTTGCAAACACTTCAAATTTTTTCATCTAAGGCAGTGTGAATCGTCGCAGTTGTTCGACCATGTTCATAGATTTATCTGTGCCACAACTTGAATGCTTACACCTTCTTATACGGGTTTGGTGTCAACTAGATTTGCCCATTACGCAATCTCGGTTCGTGAGTATCTTAGTGAGGTGTTTCAGGAGCAGTGGATAGGCCGCAGCTCAGTTAATTTCTCGGCACCACTGAACTGCCCAGCGAGGTGCCAGGAGTCCAGATCTCTCAGCCTGCGATAAATCGCAATGAGGATTTGTCGAGGGGCAAGTGTCGAAACAGCGCTATCGCACAACGGAGGAACTGGAAGAGGCTCTATTGCAATGCATTTGCACTCGTCTCCCAAGCTTAGTTGCGTAAAATTTCACACAAAACATGACGGATTGGAGAGATTCGAGTTCGCAAAACCAGAAATATCTTCAAGCCACAATTTAAATTACCGAGGTCCCAAAGGAGTTTGACCACATTGGTAAGTGCTGTATGAGCATCGGAACGGATGCTTCAAATGCGTTAGCAATTCTCTTGGATCTTGGAGCACCGTAGACATGTCCATAGCAATTTCAATTTGTTGAAATTGCATTTCAAGGGGAAAATATAAAAAAAAACCAATGACTGCCTACATTGTGCTCACAGCATTCGAACCAACATTAATTAGAATCATCACTGTCGATTCCCACGGTGCTGGAAATATTTCAAGAAACGCTATTCTGTGAATGCGATCCTCGTCTGATGTACTCATTCGGCCGTCCGTATTCATCGAGCTGTTCCAATGATGCAATGTCTCTCAAGAAGAATGGAGGAATTGTCACAATAAAGTCACAATAAAGGTGGACTGCCTACTGTATCTCTTTGTGTCGTTCACATAGCACAGATATCTCGAATTTCCCGACGTTGATACGAAGGCGGATGCAGTCGTGAATCCGACATACCTCCGGCACGGTATCAGGCAATAATGGGGGGACGAGATTGGAGCCCGCACGCTGAGCCTAAATGAATCACAGCTAATTTCATTCACTTAAACAGCGAACCGATGCATCACAAACAATAAAAATGGCACTTTCCGTGATCTAGATGTCAATATCTTTCCATTAGTAAAGGTTAATTTTTCTGAAGGCACCCCAGGCGGGGCTCCCCATCGCGGGCTGAGAGGAAAATCAATTCAAGATTGAAGTGGACATCTTGAAAGAGAATGAATGCTCTCCGCGACCGCGGGGAATTTAAGCTGAGTCATTCCACGCCATGTCCACCAGACTCAACCATCTTGGAGTTTGAGGAAAATCGGCAGATACTGTACGTGGAGGAATCGATTTAAAAGAAAGCGATTTCAAACCTTTTTTATATCTGACAGATCCCCATATGGTGGTTTCGTGGTGGGCCACGAAATGGTGCCGGTTTTTGTTACATGTCAACTCCCAGCGAAGACATCTGCATAATAGAAACTCCAATAGGAAGTGGAAAATACAGGAACACTATCCTGCACCTTTATCATAGTTTTTGTTCCTGCACAATCCCCTCTTGTTCAAACCGATAATAAAGGTACAGGATAGTGTTGCAGTTTCGAGTCCATATATTCCTCAGAAAAGCTTTGAAGTATCACTGTGAAACAATCACACTTTTCGATTCTGCGTACATCAGCACAATGAATGGGCTTTGGTAGCGCCCATTACATTTCTTCAACTCCTTCCGGCGACAAAATTCAACCGTCTCGTATTCCTCTCTGAGAGCATCAACGAAAATTAAATTTGGCATACTTCTTCCTCTCTCGACACAGAGTCACTCCATCAAATATGAAGCTTCATTTTCCCCGGGATTGTGGAGATAACTGAATCTCGCTCTCGGGAGGTGTGAATTTCGTTCCGATATTTTTTTTCTCCTCCCCCCCCCTCCCCGGGTCTCCTGTAGCGAACCCCAGGGGGTCACAAGATATGGGGCACGAATGCCTCGCTACATATGGGGATCAGACCCAATGTGGTCGGATGGTAATCAAGAAGGTTGCGTGTTCTTATAGATGGTAAATTAGCGAGGGAGAAACGAAGTCTCAGATCTCTCTAGACTCCAAGCATGAAGAAAGGTACGTCCTTAGATCAAGTTAACAACTGTGCAGAATTTATTAGGATACTCAATAGGGGAGAAAGACCGGAAGGAGGAATACAGGGAGATACAGTCTCACGGTTGTAGCTGGGGCTCGCACGCACTTCGTCCTGATACGTGGACGATCGAATGTGTTGGTTCCTGGTCGCCGACCGTGGTTCAGGTCATCGGTTCGTGATGAGTCCACAGCAGTTCGCTATGCCGACCAGCCCGTAGTTCGGGGCTCACACTGCGGTTCACTGAGTTGACCGGCTGTGAGGGTCAGGCTGCGTGACTCGCGCGCCCACGTGTTGTCCGGCCGAGGGTTCGAGACGGTCTCGCACGTGCTGTCCGGCCGGAGGTTCAAGTCGGACTGGCCGTAGGGCAGAGGTGAGGGCGTGAAGGGGCGAGAGGAGGTCCGCTATTACTACTCGGCGTAGTAACTCGGGGACTCTTCCCCTCTGCTCATCCATGGGCACGAGGAGGACTCCACACTCCGCTCCTGGAAAGTTTTTGGAGGAAAGAGACCAACCAAACGAAAGATATTGACCTAGAGGTGACAAATAGTCTCATTTTCTTGTTTTCAGCGCACCATTTCGCCATGAAAAATGAAATTAGATGTCGTTAATTTAGGCTTAGCGAGATTGGTCCAGTCCCGTCCTCCAGTGTTGCCGGATATCGTGCCTTAGTTATCCCAGATTCATGACTTCTTTGGCCTTAGTATCATTGTGTGAATCTTTCCTTTTTAATGTAGGAGACAATGTTGTGCGGAATTCATGTGATGAGCTGAGATTGAAGCGGTGTTTTACAGTGGCCGATGGATTTGTTGGAATATGGAGATATCTCATCCGGACATCCCTAAGTTAACATTGATAGCGGCACGCGTGTTTGTCATGCTTTCTAAAGGCACTTTCTTCTCGGAAGGAGTCGAGATGGTTCGAGGAACTCTGGATAGGCCTAATGTTCCCCGACCGCACTGAAGTAGCTCATGAAACTCGTAAAAGATCTGCATCCGGTCCAACGTTACACGTTCCCTTGTAAATGGTCCATGAGAGACTGAATACGCCTGCGATCGGTCTAACGATAAACGTCCTCGAGAAAGTGTCTAAAAGTTCAGGGATTAATCTGCATAGGCGTAATTGGTCCGTAAGAAGAGGATTGAGTTTCTTTTGAACGAAAAAGGTAGGCCCCGGCCTGACCCGAAGACAGTCCGCGTCG